TTTTTTTTTTTTTTTGTTTATTTACCAGCAAATAATGATTTTTTTTTTCTTTTTAAACAATTCCACATTTGTAGCTAGCAAACATTTAGGATATTTTCTCGACATGCATGATGCATATTATAAACGGTATACAAACCTAAAGTAACACCAAAAAAAATTTTTTTTTGTTTTTAATATAAAAATTCTATATTTAGAAATTACCCAATAAAGTTTGAAAGTGTAACAAAGAAAGTTGAAAAATGAATATTTCCGATAATGTCTCATTCTCTTTTAATGATTTTGTAATATTTCATTCATATTTAATTATTATCAGCGCGACAATATATAAAAAAAAGAAAGTGAAAAAGGGAGACTAAGAGGGGATGGTGGGGTTCTGCTATTCCCGGTTCTGTCATCATGAAATTCTATTGTCGTTTTCATTTATTATTTTTTTTTTTTTTTAGAAAAAAATATATTTTTTAGAGATTATCATTTGTTTAGGAAAAAAAAAAAAATTGCACGTGAATATTGCGAAATGTCTAAGCGTTATGGGTTAGTATTGTCCAAGTCCAAAATTTAAACTGTATCCCAAACATGTTTGATAAACTTATTACATTTTGTATACCAAAACCCGTTTCAGGTGAAACAGATGAATTTGGGTTAAATTCCAGGAATTTGGTATGGATCTACAAACCTTAAAAAGTCCGTAGTAAATCCGAAAATTACGCAATGATTTTATCGTTTTTGATTTTCTTCCTAACGAATTATATTTAGTATATGGAAACTGAAATGAATTCAGTGAATCCTCAAATTTTTTAGGTTTAACACATAGACACATAGTGAAGTTCATAGATTATCAAACATTTAGTTAGGGTTTACTAAGGTTAAACCGTTAAGGTTAATAATTAATATTAAATTAGTTTTGATTGGTCATAATTTAATTAGGGTTAGGATTTTATGATTAAGATTTGGGATACTTCACCCAGAGATTTTTTACATATTTTTGGAGCTAGTAATAAATATTTCGAAAATTTTTATTTTTATTATAATAATAATAATACCGTATATTACAGCAGGTTTTTTATGTATAGTATTATAATATGTTCAAAATTTAAAAATTATTTCTTTGAGTAAAAAAGTTCAGTACACTCTAAAATTTTTAAGATACCCGGGTATTGCGACTCACAAAATATAATAATAATAATAATTTAATACTGACCTAATATTTAATGCTTTTTTTTCTCAACCTGTTAGCATTAATACTTGAATTCATACAATATAAAGCCAAATAATTAGATGACGTATAGCATTAATACTTGGATTCATACATAAAAATATTTGGATTATTAAATACAATATAAAAATACGGTTAAAACAAATAATTGGATGACGTATAAGAATTAATACTTGAATTCATACATAAATTAAACTAAATAATGGATGACGTATAAAGCATTAATATTTGGATTATTATATACAATATAAAAATACGACAAATAATTAGATGACGTATAAGCATTAATACTTGAATTCATACACTATATAATTGGATGACATATAAAGCATTAATACTTGGATTATCATATACGATATAAAAATACGGTTAACCCAAATAATTATATGACGTATAGCATTAATACTTTAACAAGCATACAATATAAAAATAAAAATTATATAATAAGCATTCAATGTAAAATTAGATGACTTATATATTATAAATTATCAATTCAGTGAATTAAAACCGTCCAATGATATATTACATAATTTATTTTTTACTCTTATATATTTGTTATAAATACTCAGCCAGCTGACATAATAATTATACTCGCTGATGTTCATTGCTTCTATTCTTCCAATTCAAATCCAACTTCATACAATTGAATATTGAAAGGATTGGAATTAAGTGTATTAATTTCAATGGTAGCGGTTTCAAGGATATACTGAGTCATAATCATATTCTCATACTTGTAATTCTTGTTTTAAAAAAGTTAATTGCTAATTAAAGAGTATCCGTTAATGTTTAGTAAATATTTGTATCAGAATTAATGAGGTTAGAAATGAAAAAAAAAAAACGCCACTTAGGAATGAGATATGCTACAAAATCTTTTACCCCTATTCATTTTAATAATAAAGAAATTGATTTAATACTTTATTCTTTCCTTATATATTAATAATAACCTGTTAAAAATAATTTTGCATATGATAGATATTAAAGATAAACAATTTAATAAACCCTTAATTTAGAAATATTTGACTATAAGAATCTTAGGAGTATTAGGAGAATGATAGAAGTTTCTGAGTAAAAAATTTCATTAAAATCGTATAATTAAATAAAAATATAATTAATGTAATTGGTAATGTAATTGGGCTTAAAATTCACTGAGTCAAATCACTATTAAAACCTGTAACGAAAATATTTCTAATATTGTTTCAAATCTTCAGCTTTCTGTTTCTAGCGTAACGGAGGAACGGACCGGAAAATGATATTAATTTGTAGATTATATGTAATTGAAGTTGTACATTTATTATTATATAATTATTTTTGATAATTATTTAAGCAACATTTTATATCAATCCTTATTTAGTGAAAGAAAATATTTTATTTTTGTATTAAATTGACGCGTATCATTCATTTATCAATTAATTTTTTATCTTCCACGTTTTCTCTTTTCATACATAATTATCTTTTCTGATCTAATTATAGAATTTTTTTTAAAATCGACAATAATAAATAAATATCGTGTTGTGTTATAGATATCTCTTTGATATGTATTCAATATTTCCATATTTGAAGTATTAATTATGGTCGATCGTGGGTTTAAAGGGTCATGTAGTTACACAATATAAACAAGTGTTTTGACGAGTAATTATAATAATTGCCAAGGAAACTCCTAAAAAAAAAAGGATTTTGAACCAATCAAAATAAAATTTATTAATCTACAGGATATTTTGTATATTTTGTTCACTTTTTTTGGTTTCATTATGGGTTTAATATAATAAAACTAATAAATGTTTCAAATATATATATATGTTTAAACGAATTAATCAATAATTCCTTATGAAACAGGATGATTTATAAAGGAGTTGTGAGAGATCTCTATCAAAAAAAGGTAAATACGTATTTTTTTTTTCTTTTCCTGGTAATTGGGAGTAATTTATAATCGGAGTTAATTATCAAAAAATTCCTTAAATCGTTAACTTAAATATCATTAATGAATTTAAATAATAAAAAACATTTTACAAAAGAAATATGATATGATTGTTTATTATCGAATGTTTCGTTTTAAAATAAATGCTGTAAATAATAAAGTAAATAAATAAATAATAATAAATTAATTTATCTAATATTAAAATTTATTAACCTTGTTAGCGGTCAAAGATTCAAAATAACCCCGGGAAAATTGGTTAAATACTTAAATGGAATAAAATATCAACCGTTACCCGATTGACTGCAGATGAATCAGATCAACAGGATTCAGGATTTCATTAAATAATATTCAATCTTACTTGTTTTAAATAACATTTTCTAATTTATTTATAATATTAAAGAGACGAC